TTCGCAGTACCTCGGATTGGGCCGGCCATCCGGATGCATTCTTGTCTTGCATGCATATTAAAAGTTCTTTAAAGTTAAAGAGTCACCGATTCGGCAAGAGGTCGAACACCACGACGTGGTCGTTGGCTGCCAACTCCAGACCTTGCAAGAAGGAGGCCAAGATCTGCCGATGGCACTCCGTGCCCTTCCTCAGCATTCATAGGTCAAGGGAGCCAGTGAAAATCAAAACGGCTGCTTGACTGGGGCCCACTGATGCAATCGAGCTGCTGTTCCACCCTCGCCGCCGCAGATGGACGGTTCTCAGAGTCGTACCCTTTCATTTCCGAAACCTTGACCAAAGCCAGGTCGCCGATGGTCTGGTTGTTCAACGGCTCTGACTTCTGCCAGGCACTCTGGGAAACCTGACAGTTCTTGCTTCCCAAGAAGGTCACAAAAAAAAGCTGCACGCCAGACACGATCATGGCATCGTGCCCAAGAAGCCAGGCTGCTCGGCAATGCTGAGAGAAGACAGCATAACAGCTCTGTGTTCCGGGCCTTTTGTCTGAGGCACGTCCAGTCGCATCTTTCTGGAACAGCAGGGTGACACCCCGACTCAAATCCAATGAACGATTGATGAGTCCGTCTTCCAGGGCACGACGGTGTTTCAGGGCTGCATTCACGCTGGTCTGGGCCTGGTGTTGGGGGCACTGAAGATGACACATGTTGTCGGGTGACATGTTGAGCACAGTGCACAACATGTCCATGAGGGTCTGCAGCATCTTTGCATTGCTCGGGTACACCGTGCAATCGAGGGTGCACAAGACCAGCCTCAAGAGTGAACTGAATGTAAATTAAAACCTGAAACACACACTGAAAAACGCGGCGACACACGCAAACTGAAACACGCGGCGACTAGCTTCAAGTCTTAAGGCTGGAACACTCGCCCGTTGCCATCTCTGAGGGGAGCCAGGAACTGGGAGAACTGTGCCACGGAGCGGCCCAATTGATCCTCGGTGGGAAAAATCACCCGGCAGTTCTCAGATAGCCACTTTGCCACCCAGTCGTTGCCAGTCCTTGGAAGAAGCAACTGCCGCATGTGTCGAGTCCAGGAACATTCAAGAAACTTCTACAAGGGCATGATAAGTGTCTGTTGTCGATCCTTGATGTACTTGACATCCATGGCCGCTTGCATGGCCATTGTGTTCGAGTCCGGCACCCGCTGCTTGAGAGTCTCCAAATCAGTCTCGATTTGAGCTTTCAGCTGAGCAAATGTCGCCTCGGACAGCTTTCGAGCCAGCTCTTCGTTCCGAGCATCGACCTCCACAGCACACCGATGCTGCACGTCGTTGCAAATCGTCCTGGCAGCTCAATGATACGACCGACGGAAACCAAACA